TTTATCGTTACTCACGCATGAGCTGCTTTTTCGACTAGGAGGGGTCTTCTGGACCAACAGCCTCTTTGAAACCGTCATATTTAGGGACGCAGCATGAATAAGAACCATGTTCTTATCTTGAACGTTTCAGTAGTAACCAAAAAAGCAGTGAATGTACTCGAATGTCGATCCCCGTAGCGACTGAAAGTTCATCGAAGTTCGGTTGTGCTTCCAATATAAGTCCGAATATTTATTATTTATTATCTATCTATTTTATTATTAGTCTACAAAGACATTCCCTCATTTGGCGAAACCACTGGACACACGGCTCATGAGCTATGTCCATTAGTTTAGAAAGAAAAGTAAAAAAAAAAACCACAAAAACATAACAATAAGCAAACAGGCATTATGCATCTTTCGATAATCAATATCGGAAAAAAAGATATTAATCGATTTGTGACATTAGCTCCGTTTGGATCAACCAAGTATAGCCCAATCTCAAAGGCAAAACTTATCGCTAGGAGGATCGAAGCATCAACAAAGACTCTTCTTTTGGCCATGCTAAAACCGTTTCGCGAAAACGAACATGGAAGTAGTCTCATGATCCATAAATATGCAGGATAGCTTTGAAAAATCTTGGCTGAAAGACCTTGTTAATATTATTCCCCTTCTTCGACCTCCAACTTTACCGGGGCAATCTTTCTTTACTCCAAGGACGTTCGAGAATTATAGTAAATATGTCCAATGATGTATAGGAGTTATGGACTCTCTCACATAGGCGTGTGAATGCAGCAACCAGCCTGCATAGAGCAGCATTTCAGAAGATTTTCTATTTCTCTGTGCCTTGAGACAGAATTTCATTTTATCAAGTTATATCAACTAGCACGGCTAAAGCCAAGCCATGATAGTTCATTAATAGAAGAACATGCCCGAGTAAAATATTACCGTCAGCTCCGATGGAACTTTCCAACCTTGTCGCACAAAAATGGCCGTCAGGATCGCAAAATCATACGAGATGGTGCACTGAAGCATTGCCGCCCTCGAGGTTTGTTGCCAATAAATCAGCATGTACCGTCTACATGCAACGTTGTTTCACGGCTTATGGCCACTACTAATATGAGCATAAGATTAAAAAATAGCAAATTTGTTGAAAAAACAATCGAAACACTGCCTTCAAATTTCAAGGTGGTCATGGATACTGAGGAAAAGGGGAGTGATGTTCGGAGTATTAAGACGATTCACCTTGCTTTCTTTTTCATTCATTAGCACCCATCCCTCATCGATATATTGACATCTTACGGGCGACACAGTTATCTGTTTTTTGTGTTTAATCTCACGGATACTCAAGTATGATGAATGAACAGAGTAAAACAGAAAAAACAAGAAAATCGAATAGAATCAAAGAAAGGGAATGTCGAAGGAAATATGATGCAAGTGGATAAAAACCTCTATGCTGCAAGTGCGAAATTCACTAGTTTTACGATTCCTATTTTCATCTCTTCTCCTTTCTACACTCTTTTTTTACCACACGATAGATAAGAAAACGTACGGTGTTTATCAATTGCGCTCAGATAGCTTTCTGGATTCAATCTTCTGTCATTTTATGTTTGACAAAAAACAGCGATTGAAAATTGCTTCACCTCAGCTATAGTCACGACTCTAACGAGGAGTTGACATAATGATGAGAAGTGACGAGATCCACAGCAATCGCAACAATCCTAATTTAGAACGAAGTTAACAAAAAAATACTCACAAACGAGCAAACCAGCGATCGAGCAATCAAACATGTGTAATTTCGAGATAGCAGTCAACGTTTTGAGAGCAATTCTCCAAAATACTCTCAATGCACCATATAGGTAAACATGCTCGAAGGAAAGATATTGCGAGGTGTTGGGTCAGCTTACTTTTCCTTTGGGTCAATAACCCTACCTCCTCTGTAACGGGTGCGCATAAATGAAGCGAAGGTTAAACTTTCTTCGAATGTGGCCACACCCCTCCCACACTGATGTCAACAGCAAGATGTTCAACAGGCATATGAATAAGCATATAGCAACAGATAAACATAGACCTGGGACATGTCTCAAACACGCGCCTAAATGAGCAAGTGTGCTGCTAGAGTGGGAGAAGCAGTGGCTTCCTGGTGTTCTGGTTGAGAAGACTTTTTGAAAATCAACAATTTCGAAAACAATACTCACTCTTTCGTTTTTTGAAACATCACAGGGAACAACTCTTATGGTTGACTAGCCGCAGCGTCGAGTGACCCTCCCCCCCCCCACGTTGGGTAGCCACAAAACATACCAGATACATACAGGGGAGGTCGAAAAAACCGTCACTCTCACTCACATTCAAAACAGAATTACTTGCACTTTGCCAAAACCAAACCATGGGTTTAACTGCACACTGAAGAGCACATTCCAGTCTGTCAAAAAATTACATAGGGCTTTCTACACCAAAGATACCAGAAGATTTTCACACGGAAACATGGTGCACGGTACGAGCTTAATGATGTCGTCGAGAAACCATAGGCGATCACAACGTCTCTTAAACTCTTAAATGCTGGTCAAAAGCCATCTTGCATACTCAAAACTAGTGTCCCTAGGAAGCCACTCACCGGTTACCCGGTTGAAGAAATTATGTAGCAGTTTCAGAATGGAGCGACAGCAGCATCTTTGCGACGAAAATTTCGATGGTATGCGCTATGGGCAAAATGACTCCTTTTTTGTCCCCCTGTATATATTGCAACATTGAAATTTGAATGCGGAACATTTCGCTCACGGTTTTGAATAAGGTTAGTCATCTAATCTACTCTAAAAAATTTCAGACTCTCTAAAGGGAAAGTATTGACACTAGAATGAGTGGCGCGATGGGAAAATGTGGCTAACACGACCTTCCACGCCCACCCTAAGGCAATGCCAGTGCCATCTTCAAGACGGAGCCCGCTGCTGCCATCCGTTTCTAGGTCTTACAGCCCTAATTTCTATTTTACCTTTATTTTTCTTGGAGGTGGGTTCAACGATGAAAAGCAGCCCATTGGAAATGAGGCGCTTTTTCTTCGAGATTCACAACAATGAAGTGTTCGACAATGTTTAACGATGCTGTATCATTCCGAAATATAAAAATTTTACATTGCTCTTGCTTTATTCTCTTTCTACCGAAAGTCTTGGTCGAACGTATCGTTCGGCTGACAGTTTTGACAAGAAATTGAGAGGCGTTCCATAACAAAGGGCGAGTTGAGAAATTGGTCATAAAATAAATCTCCATCTGAACATTCCTCATGACAGAATAACAGAACACAGCATAAGCGTAGTTTCAAGTTCAAGGTTGATAGGATCATAACACCGGTTGCATGAATCCTTGACGAGGTTTCCCACTGTTTTATAGTTCCTTTCATTCATATATAGGTATTTGCTTGCGATTTCGTTACCCGCATTAATACAGTTTGAGCTCTCGCCCTGAATTATAACGCGTATTAACAAAAGCGAGGGACATTTTGAAAATGCTTCTCATGAACGTTATTACGAAATGATCGCCAATAATCTCCTCAATCGATATAAAGAGCTTTTCACTATTTGAGTCAAATTCTTTTAGAAATTTTCTGTCACCTTTGTTCCTTTATGTAAGGCTCCTCCACAAGCAAGTATGTGGCAAATCAGGATACTTCAGTATCTCTTCTTAAGTCAGGTCCACTCAGAGCTGCGCGAAAAACACTAAGTAAAACCTAAGGTAGCTGGGTTTAGCTTGCTTAAGGTTCAAGCTTACACAAACTGCCTTGGCCTTGAACCTATGAACGGCTGGCTAGCCCCCCTAAGCTTGCTTCGGCGAATGATGTTCGTCGTCAATTCAAGTGACCTGATCTGAGGTTGTATAACTGCAAGCGCATCGGCAAAGTAAGAAATGGTCCTCATCTTAACGAGTTGAATCATACATATTTCTCTTGCGGTTAAAACGAGCATGGCTTTTCCTCGTGATTCTCATTTATCAAACTGGTGCGATTGCATATTAAAAACCCGACTGATGGCATGAAAGATACTCTCGAAGGCAAGCCCGTGCTCCTTTTAGATGGTTCCCATGCAAAGAGACGGACTCATTTTCCGATAAAACCTTCATTGTAGTCGGACAAGTGAAAAGGAATGCCCACAATTTTAGAAGTTCTAATAAAGGTGTTACAAGAGAAGGATCGTAATTAAATTAGAACGAAAATTAGCGAAACAAAATTTCCAGTCAACGCTAAGACGCTATAAACAACGACAGACAGACGGCGAGAGTAAGTTCGAAGAAATTCCGTTAAAAAATGCGGCTGAATCCGACCGTCGCGACAAGAGTCGACGAAAGAGGTAGGTCGCAATTGTTCGTCTCCCGTGAGATCATTGTTCAAGGGAATGGCTATGAAATCTGCTCGTGGATTGATCTTATCTCGACGACAATCTCTCAACGGTGGCATGCTCAGATGCGGTTCGTTTCGTGACTCTTTTCAATGTTGGCATGATGTCTTAAACTGTAATGCAACCGACACCTCTTAAGCTAGGTTCATGTCCTAGATAGAGGCATGATAATTAAATCTCATAAGCGCTTGTTATGACCATGCACGATCGACGAACACTAGCTACCGCTTAGACGCGGCTTTCCTGCAAAGGGATATTGCAATATTAACATCTTTTCGAAGAATAAGACCATTCATTAGCCGTATTCCAAAGTGAATTATGCCAACAATAGATAGTATTGTTGTATAACAGTCTGTAGAAAGTTGGTGCAACAATTTGGACTGACAGGCAAATTAGCAGTGCCTGTTTAGAAGGTCAAAACAGGTTGTTGATGTATCGAAGTTGAATCACTCCGGTCGTTTTAAGCTGTCGCTCTCTATCAACAGCCGTCTTGAATGTCGACACAATGTTTGGGAGTGAAATCGACAAAAAAAGGCAACGCACTTCCAAATAAATAGCTTGGGAAGGCATTTCGTTGAAAAAGGAACCATTCAATTGAGTGAGCTATTTTAAATGCAGCATGGATCGACCGCAGTTAAGGGTAGGCAACTCTGAAAGGATATGACAGATGTCTCTGTTGCGCGTCTATAACTCCCGCTATACAAGAAAGGCATCACGGTCGCCAATGGCCATTCAACGATAGCCTGAAAAACATTACTAATGCCTCTCACAACCCGCTGATCTCGAATACACCTTCCAAATTACCTGAAGATCTCTGAAATGGAGAGTAATGAAGCAAACATCCGCGCAATGGCAGTGTTGAGACTCAGCAAGGTCAAAACGTTGTAGGATTGGTCCTCTTACCGTTACACTCGTTTTCGTTTTTTAGGATACGGCTAACTACCACGCTATCGACTAAAGCCTTCATGCATCATCTCAAGTGCATTTAGTGGTACAGCATTTTTCTATGAGTGCGTGACAAGCTTGAGAGCTCTTTCTTGGTAGTCCCGTGTCACCTACCATCCGTCCTGTTTGAATTCTCCCTTCCCCAAGGACATAAGCGCGAATTTCTACACTTTACGACACTTCAGTTCGAAAGATATCCTGATTATTCACATTAGCCGAAGTTCTCTAATATATTCGCACAATACAATATGTTATGGAAAGAACAGGCACAACAGACATTGACTAGCTGGCCTTTGCTATGTTAGAGCAGGCCCCATGACAATTGCAACAATAAAGTTATAATTTTTATATAATTAAACTGTCTCTGTTGTAAAACCAAAATGCTTTTGTTTGTTTACCGCTCTTAATATTGTAATAATCGTATTTTCGTCAAAAATTTTATTAAAAGGAGGATTGCTACGAAATGAACGAAGGTCGAGGAAACGGGAGAAATTGCCTAGTGGGAGAGCGGTGAACCTCTTGAGGGTGTAGACAGACCGCAATCGCATCGAAAGATTGACCTCTGACCAGATCTAGCATGCTCAAATTGGCGAGTTCGGACGATTTCGCCACCGATCGTTCTGATTCACTCGCTCTAGTAGCAATAATGGTGCGAGTGATAGAGTAGCGAGAAGAGCGCTAAGGGTGAAAGAGGGCAAACGATGAAAGAGAGTCCCACAATGACCAAATCAACGGACAGGGGAAGGGGTCCCATTCTCGGTTTCTGGCCGTTATTTCGTGTTTCGCTTTCTTTCTGGAACTACCCACCATCTCTACCTCAATTTGAAATGGGTTGCTTTGTATCGTAAATTCGTTCTTTAAGGGGGTGGGATTCAGAGAGTAGTTTAGTCTCCGTTTCGCGTTTCTCCGTTTTTACAAAAATACAAAAGTATTTCCGCATCTTGTAGTTGAGCTTTTTAACAGTACTGTAGTGCTTTATGTATTAGGAAAGCAAAGTCAGGGAAGACATGCAGTCGCGCACATTTCAAGACCTTCAAAATTGCATGGAAGGAAAAGGAAAAGTCAACTATCGAGTTTTCGCATACGTGGGTTCAAAAATCTGTGACGAATTCTACCACGTTGTACATTCACGACCACTGGAATCCCCATCACCATGATCCATTTTAACATTACACCTACCTTGGAGGATAGGACCAAAGTGATGGCCAGTAAACAACGGTCAGCTGATCGGTTTGTTGAGCAATCGTGGCCCATATCGTGCCGGACGCGTTTCTACGAAAACAGTATTTTTTATTCTCTATTACATCTCACTCTACCATAAGGTCTGCTGCCGAGAGGATATTGTCAGAAAATGAACAATCTGAGTTGTGGGAGAAAGTTCGTACCGCTCACATTCGCGCTTTTCAGGCGTCATGGCTACTCATGAACACTGTGAAAACCAGGCAGTCTGCCTCACTTTTCATCAATACGTTTACCATACACGTTAAGATGCATGGAATGAAGAGCTGGTCAGGTTGTTTTTTAAGATACATTACTGAATACTGTTTTTGCTGGCATCACATAACTGGCCGTTGCTCGTTCGCAGACAGCTGGTGCTGGTTATTTTGAACGATTGAAGGTGATCAATGCAAGGTCATAACAAATGACGGAGAGGTTTGTAAAGTGGCTCAGCATTCGGACACCTATGTTTTGCTAATCTCGAAGTACTTCACCAGCCTCACCGCCGTTTATTGGCAGTTACTGATGTTTTATACAGGCCAACTGATGCTCATGCCAATCATTGTGTTCATGACTTTGCAGTGTGACCCAGCAAGGTCAAAAATTAGCATCCATTACTTTAGTTCACACAGAAATTAGATTCCGCTGAGTGTTCCTCTCAAAGCTCTGTCTATTCACGTCGCCCTCTTCGAACGTCTTCTGGGAGTCTCTAAAGAATGTTTATAAAAGTCGTAAGGATATATGTGAATCAAAAAAAAACTAGTGCAACTCAAATTCTTAACTTCCTTATCAACTGTTATCAGTTTTTGTCACTTTTGATCAACCACTATCCGTGTTCCCGTCCTATCCCTCATGCCACTTGTATGAGCCAAGGTTTTCTGTTACTGCAAAGGTGGTAACGGAACTTGTGGTATCCACACTTCGACGCCACTTATCACTTCTTATCAATTGTTACCACCTTCTTCCAACCACCCTTTTGGTCCCTGCCTCACCCGACATAATATTCGTAACTACGAACATCCTAGGGTCAATGCGAAAGGCGTTGCAAAAATGACGACGTTATCGTTCCGATGCCCCTTATCAGCCCTTATCACTTGCTATCACTCTCGTTCGCTCACCATTTGAATCCCAGTCCTACCCTACGCAATATTCATGAGTGCTAGCAATCCACTGCCAACGCGAACGGCGTAACGAAGTTGGTGACATCGGCATTCTGACGACCGTTATTAGGCTTGTATCACTACTTATCACTTCCCGCCACCCATCATCAGTGTTCAGGTCCATTCCCCTATACTACCCTAGAAGTTGCAGCGCTCTGGGACCAAGGCGGACACAGATCATGAATTTCAGGTCAGACAAGACAAACACATACACACAGACCCACACACGCAGGACTGCTTACATAGGAGTCGTTCAGGGTGTGCCCATAGCTTTTTCAAAATTGTTTCTTACTATGAGCGTTGGGGCACATATTGGAGCTTCACAAGCATGGGTTCATTTTTTTTCCTGAACGGCTCGCTTGAATACCCAGAAACGGGTCCCAAGTTCGATTCTTGTGGTGACAAATTTTTGCATCTTCGTCTTGACGTTCCGAAATTCGCGGCAAAACGGAGTTAGCAGATGAATAACTATAGGCCAAATTCATGATTAGGAACGTCAGTAACCCTTACTAATAGACTTTGATTGGAAAACTAGTGAAAAAAGTGTGAATCGGACCGCCCTTTTCTGGTATTCATAGGGCGTTCAAGGAAAAATCAATCATGGTTCTGTGGTTCCCCGCATGTGTCTCTACATCATTTTGAAAAAGCTTGCACGCCTTGAAAGACTTCCTTGTTAGCGGATTATATACAGGGTGGCCGAAAGTATATGGGACCGCATGCTTTTGTGTTAAAAGCCAAGAAAAAGATCGATCAGGATAAGCGCTTCACACACAGGATAGAGTTAAGATGTTTGATTACTTGTGCAGAAGATGCATTTAATTTGACGGACTCTGCTTTGAAAGAGGTTTTCTGACGTCAACGACAACATTCAGCAGTGCGCGCCGGTAAGCCAACGCGATTCGTCCCACCTCTGTCGAGTCGTAATTTCAGAAGCTCCCAATCGAGATGAAGATAGTCTATGAGGTCTTTTCTACCCACATCTTCACAATAGAGGAGCCACTGGGTTGAGGGCCTGAGAGGGAGAAGGTCCACAATTCTTGCTCCTGTGGCCCGGGAAGTGGCATCCAGATGCTTTGGTCGATTTGAACCGAGTATTAAGGGAGCTCAGCTTCACTGAATAGCAAACAATCCTTGAGGCAAAATGCTCGTAAATTTGACAACATACCGTACCTCATTAAGGTCTTCTGCAAAATCTTCGAGTGAATTTTAACTATTTGTGAAGAATGAACTCCACATGAGCTGCACTTCTTGATGTTACCCCCGCCAAATTTACACACTTTCGGGAGAAACTTCTGTTTGTAGACTAGACATGCTCGGAGACTTGCTCTACTTTTTCGCATAACTGCCTCTGCACTGGTGGTCGCATAGAGGTTTAGTTCGAAAATTTTCTCATACAACCCAATCCATAAGAGAGACGCGAGCACCGTCGAGCTCGTGCAGAAACTTTCTGCATTTAATCACTGAATCTTTCGGATTGGCCCAACAGAAATCAACAATAGAAAGTGTTGGTAACTCTCAAACTAGGGTTGCTCCTAAAGATTTCCTGGAAGGAAAGGCGGTAGATACTGAGATCGAAAGCGGTGTGACTCGCGCTGGATTCATCGTTGTGAGCCATCCTCTGGTGATTGCCCCATTCTTGCGAGTGTGCACAGTTCTTGAACCACCACTTTCCGCAATCCCAGAGCTGTGTGCTTGAACCATGAAAGCACCGAACATCTTTCCCAAAGGAGTAATGAAATAGTAATTACCACCAGTCGCTTTCCGAAGTTGCAATTCCAGAGACCGTCATTGGGCAGCCCCTTGGTAATGGGTCGATGCAAAAAATCTTCATGGCGAAAGTTCAGATGACCTCTGGAGCAAACAACTTGTGGTGCTTCTCACATAGCTTCAAAGCTTTCGAAGAGTTTCGAAACGCTCTGAAATTACTCCACGGCTCAGTGCCAGCAAGCGGCCAAAGCCGCGTCCTATACTTTTCGGCCACCCTGTATAATAGGAAACTAAGTCAAGAACTAAAGTCATTATGATTTTTGCCTCCAATCGTTAGTTACTAGTTGTTTCTGGATGTTGCATATGATTGCAAAAGGCGAAGTAAAGCACCCGATATTCTGGAGCTATGATACTCTTCGATTTTGTCAGAGCATCCACCATCATATCTTGTTGGCAACCAGCCCCTGACAGTATACTGCCCTGTTCCATCCTCACCATTTATGACTGCATAACATCACTATTGAGAACCCAAGATTTCACGTGTTATAAAGTTTTTAATGGAAGCTATTCAGGAAATGTGGTTGGAAGCCATCACTTTTGCATATTTGGTTAACTTTGTAGCAACTTTCATTGGTGTCTACGAAGCACAGGTAAAACTTTTTTGATGTAATTAAGAAAAATTTGGTAGTTGTATATTTTGAAAAGCTAAGAGTAGCTTCAACAAACCTGTAGCCCCTGTCCCTTGAATTATTTACTTGTTCACACAACTCACTCGAACACCATGTTGGCAGTGAAATCACACGTACAGTTTTGTGTATTTTGTGTCAGAGGAAAGTCAATACAGGTGCGACAAATTCAGTTGATCAAATTTTGGGTGCTGTGAACATGGTAAACGATAAATTTAGATCCCATTTTTTACTAACAGATATCGACAAAACGCCTTTACGACACAAAGGTGCAAACTTCAATATATCCTCTTTTGCTCGATAAGGCCTTTAGTCTGAAGTGAACTCACCTACTGTGGCGCGAAGGTATAACAAAGAATTCCTTTCCGAGGTTTCGAGAAGTTCCTCGTTGGTGACTTTTCTAAGCGGTATTGTTTAGAACAGGCCTTGGTTTCAGAGATAAGCACAAGGAGTCCAGTGGATTCAGAATCGGGACTACAGGAGGCCGTGATTCGTAAGCGCTGCTCAAATCTGGGAGGGCTTCTTTGCACCACTGTCTTGTGTCTTGTTCAGTCTAAGAGCTTCCGAAATCCCGAAGAAACATAAAAGGCCTAGATTCAGAGTATTATTTTCTCCACAGAGGCAATTTGTTCACTAACATTTTCCAAGTTGACCTTTTTGTTAATTTTGATTTTCGCTTCGGTATCTTCTTCAGCAAAAACCATGGGGACTTCGACTATCTAGACTATCGTGGCCCAGAGTTCAGTGCGTTCATGAATCCCTTCCCTTTCTCCTCAGCAGCTTCTGTTGCTGAAGAAAGCACCCGATCATTTCCACGACTGGAAGTTGACCCCAACGTGAACAACTTCTTGTCTGAAAAAACCATGTCTCGGTGGCGCGCCACGTGAAGCATTAAAAGAGCACGTTGCAGTTCTATACCGGCTTTCTTAAAATGGATGCAATAACGATATGGTCGTTTGGGAATCGATAAAGTTCAACTCCTTGCTTTTCTCATACAATGTGACAGGATGAGGTATTGCTGATTCCCAGCTCAGCGATTTACCAATATTTCCTACTGGTCTCCTCGGATTGCGTCTCACTTGGCTCGGATCAATTTTAAAATTTTTGTCAAGTTGCAGTTGCTCTTTTCCCTGTCTCTGGGCGGTCTTCTAGTTCCCGCGGTTCTTGAACTGCTCTATAGTAGAGTTCACACTTCTCTGTTCTGTGAAAGAGCGTTGGTGTTTGTTTCCTTATACACTGCGTTTCATAATTATAGGTCCACCCTAAATTTTTGCTACCCCAAAGTTGCTGTGCATTTTTTGAAAATGCTGCTATCACCATTGGATTCCTCATCACGGAAAACCTTTATAGTGTTTTTCTGACAAAGTTCGCCCCACCCCGCCAGTAAAACCAATTAACTTTTTCGGACGAGATTTTTCACCGTTTCATGAAGTCGGGCCATTCATTAAAAGTTCGCATTTCTCATGATCGTGAAGGGAAACAGAGAAGCGGGGATTATATGTGAGCTTAGTTCGACATCGGGTTTACCAATACCTCGTGTTAGTCGCCTCCCTTCCAATAACAGGCGCAAACCAGAGCGCTTACTGAAGTGGGATGGCTGAGGAGCCAGAACTTCCTCCATGTGGTCGACCTCATAGTGCCATAAGCAACTAAGTGTGAAATCCTGGTCAGTGTGGGAAGAAGAGTAGCCTTCGGTAAATAAAAGACTGGGTTTTCTTCAAGATTTTGGAGGAATTTGGGCGTCTTCTCACGAATTGTACAAGGAGTCGAACAAAGTTCGTGCTGAAATTGCGCCTTCCGTGAGCAAAACCACCGTGTGTTGAGTAAGCCAGCAGGTTATCAACATCTTCAGCGGATTGATGAAGCGCGCTCCAAGATTGCTCGAGCGCTACAGATCGACACGCGCCTCCATTTCTCCGTGGAAAAGGGCTCAAACTTAATGACAAAGGCTTGTGTTGTCAAGACCCTTCGCGCTCTTGAACTTTCCTCCTTGTTTCATGCTACAGGTGATCTGAGATTGACGTGAAAATGTTTGTTTAGGTTGATCTGATAGAAAAAAAGGGTACGAGAGGTTCGCTTGAAAATCGCAGAGGGTGTGAGTAAGGTAATTTTGAGGAAAATCCCTTATGTTTAAGGCCACCTTTGAACGACTGGGCGGCTAAGAGCTCATATTTGTTTGGCCTTTCACAAGGATTCCATAGGGTATCGTGAGTTTTTTTTGATGCGATTTTTACCACTTTCTCGACAACATTCCCCTCGAACCGTGATTTTTCGCACGAAACGCCGGCCGTCTATGCCGGTTCTCTTCCACGCCAATGGAAGTGCAGGAAAAAATGTGGAGTTGTCTTGGTGGACCACATGTTATCTGAATCAGATTCTAATAGAGAATCATGAAGCCTTTGATTTGCTATACAGTTCCACAGCAAAGAAAAGCACTGGAACAGCCGCAAAAGCTGGAAACGTCGATCATTGGCCACAGAAAAGTTCCGATCTAATATAACAGCTAATTTGGTTACCAGCATTCTAAAACGTTATTATTTTTTTGCTTATGATTAATGGAGGGACCATCCCATTATTGAAATTTGTGACGTTTTTTGTTATAATAAATCTCTCGACAATTGATGTGTGTCATATTGCGAAACGGTGAAATACGTTCTAAAGAAGATATTTTTGAAAGTTCTAAATCGAGATTTCTCCAAAATCGAGTATCAAGGTTTTTCGTTGTAGACTATTGGTATAGCGCATTCTCAAAATGCACAGCAACTTTGGAAATAGCAAAAATTTAGGGTGGACCTATAATTATGAAGACGCAGTGTAGCGGCTACTGCGACGATCGTGTCTCGATGAGAATGAGGTCCAACCATTTTGAGTAAAGCAAGAGCTGGAAGTACGTTTCAAGCAATTGGTGGAGGCGAGATATCCAAAAGGTTGATGGCTAAATCCTAGAATTTACAAGGTTTCGGGTTCGAATAATAACTGATGAGTCCGAATCGCAATCAATAAATCGCTGGTAACTAAGAAAAGATATTTACGTTTACGTTCGAATCCACCTCAACCACGCTCTACCTTAAAGTCACTCCACCCAGCAGAGGCCGTGTGAACCCTTTTCTTTGATCTCTAGTATAGACCCTGAAGGGAATCACAAATTTGGCGTTCACAGTGGGCGGAACCAACCTACAAGAGCGCATTGGGGCATTGTGAAGTGAACTGCTGAAGCTGAGATCCTCTTCACTTCGAGGCTCTTGTCCGCCGCTCTCCTCTTCTGTAGCGCTGCTCTCGCCTTCCTACTCTCTCTCGCTCTCACTATTAGTCTCTCATTCCTTAGCACAGCTGTTAGGAAGGTGAAATGAGCTCTCAATATGAGCGTTCTCGACAGATTCTTCCCCTTTTTCAAGAGTTAGTTTAGCCTGAACCAATTTTTTCTCGTGGAGAAATTTTTTTAGCTCTGTTTATTACCTGGTGAGCACATGTGTATCATTATAGCAAAATTTGGAAGCATTCACACAAACTAAGAAACTAGGCAGCTTTTGAAAATTGGCCCACTTCCCAGGTCTTTGAGCTTTGTGTCGAAACAGTTCCAAATTTTATTAGTTATTTTATATATTTATATTTTATATATATATATATATAATAAATATATTATATATTTATTTCGGGTGCTATATTATATATATAATATATAATATTATATTATTATATATATATATATATATATATATATATATATATATCTATATATATACATATATATATTAGTAGATTATATATACTATATATATAGATACTATTATATATTATATTTATATTATCATATAGGCTAGATATATTATAGGCACCCGAAATATAACGGCAAGGAGAGCTACGTGACATCACTTCAATTGTTCACATAGTATTCAATGCATTTGACCCGTGCATGGCATTCCTATATTGTAAGGGCGCGAGCGGGGTAGGCTATCCCTAATTTCTTTCTGGGTATAGTTGGAAGTCTGTACTGAGGCGAGCGCGTGATGAGTAGTTTCATATCATGCCCGTATAGTTGTCCCATGTTGTGTGAGAAAACTATTTTCAGGCCTGACGAAGGTGCTAAGCACCCGAATATGGCATTTTTGGCGGGAAACTTTCGAAATTAAGTGTTTTGAAGCTTTTTGAAATAAATTTTGGAGCCTCCAATTGTTGTTTACCATTCAGATCTTTATGAGGCTTCGGGACAGCACCATACTAAGTTATTTTATAGTTATGCCGAAAAGTTTATAACCTTGCACAACATTATAACCCATAATTTTGATAAAAGAATGGATCTACTTCAAGTATTTTAGGAGAAAGTAACTCTTACTTGGCAAGTTGTGGGGACCAGCGCCGATTCATTGTTGCACTTGTACACAAGTGCTTGTAATACTAACAGCAACATACAATGAAATGGCAGGTTTAGCGCATAATTAGGAAGGGGAAGGTCGATTGAAGCAAACTCTAACAGGATTAGAAAAACCATGCTGTTTATTGATGGTGGCAATTGCAACCGGTTGGGCCGAAAGGGTTAAATGTGGAATTTTGATTTCAGAGAGATGGGGATTAAAATTATGGTATTTATTTATGTAGATAGTAAAGTATTCTATACAATTGATGGCCCTTCGTATGTATGGAGATCACAAAAGCTGAAGAAGATAGGTGAACAATTATCTGCGACCTAATCATGGAATTCCCCGATGAATATGTCCCCGAAAATGCCACATCACATTACTTTGTTAAAGCTAGATTTTGCCAAAATTTCAGAGGTATAGCTTGACGGCAACTAGGAATTCAGAAATCGATGCGAAAGATGCCTCCAGCTAGCTGGTAACTCGTTACTTTTGTAATGATGATATTCTTCACTGATCGCAAAATTGATAGTTTATAAAGCGAAGGTGCCAGGGATATATCACTCGACACGGGCGCAGCACAGTAAACAGCGTAGAATGTTAAGCGTACCTATGCACACAGCAAATAAACGTATCATTTGTATACCTGCGATAATCACGTGGACTAAATATGATGCACACATAGCTGGTTATAAAAGCGGTCGAATAAGATAAGTTAGCCCTCTAATTTCTTATTGAAACCAGCAGTCAGCCCTCTTAAAAACACTTCGGACTCGTTTTGGATCGAGGTGGCAAAGTCATTTTTCTGTTCAGGTTGGCTCTCGTCTCAGGATAAGCCTTGGACCAGAGGTTGTCACCTGGAAGCGAGTGAGGCATGAAGGTGTAGAAGAGTTCATCAAACACTGTGATGAAGGCGTAAACGAGCCGAGATGTTTCCGATTTGTTACAGCGGTGAGAAGTGCCTAAAAAAATATTTTATGATGAAAGGAAGTGGAAGTGCACCTACTATAGGGAGGAACGTCTCTCATAAAGCGAGAGGATGCGCAAATTGCAGCAAAAGTTGGACGCATCGCAAATTAACAGGGCCTTACGCGGCGCTCCAGGTCTAGCAGGGGTTGAGCAAGCCAGGGATCCTCTTTCATATTCGTGGGATATTTATTTAACACGGGTCGAGATTAAGTGGTCGACTGGTTGGTCCTCCTAGATGGGTCGAGGAATTCTCGAAAGAGGAGTCTGTATTTGTCAGGGTAGGGTCATGGAGGTCGTACTCCATGGGGGCCGAAAGTCAGTGGCATCGTGTGCAGATAGGAGGGGAGGGTGTGCGGCAGCAGAAATAAGGGTATTGAGAAAACATGATATTAAACTTCCTTTGCAGTTTTGGTCGTCCGTCCCTCTACCTTCGAGAAGGAGGTTTGATAGTAATACTACGAATACAGTACATCTTGCAAGGAGCAGGGTCGCATGTGAAACACGCGCTGCAATGGGACCTTCTCCATCTATCACGTTCCCTCGCCCTCAGTACTCACTGGAGATGACACTGTTAAATAGCGACAGTTTCTGGAATGAGCTGGGCAAAGAAAGCTGTTTCTAAGTTACTACAATATAGTTTCTGTGCAAGCAGTCATCATGCATATGTGTAATTCCGTTAATAGATTCTCGAACCTTGGCGTGGAGGTCGGATGCATGGCCTATATAGAGACGAGATCGGACGATGACGATCGCCCTTCTTCTTGTCGCTTATGTAGGAGGATTCATTCTGTGCCCATTTCGTGTGTTGCCAACGGATTAACTTGCAATGGTGAAGAAGGGAGCGAATTTTTAGGTAGCTGAGATCCATCCTTGATAGATCCTCGACGCAAATATCTCCACAACCAGAAAATGTAGAAGAAAGCTAATAGTCTGTTGGAAGCGCAAAGCTTCCGCCTCCTTTCTCCGAGATCTTACAAAATTAGAGAGATATTGCCTTTCAAGTGGTAAAAACTGGCATGGAATATTCGGCACGTTCCCTCGACAAAGCTTGAGAGACCCTATCTCTTGGAGTGTAAAGCTTTAAGATCAATTTCACTTGCCCGGTGTTTACAAATCCAGCTCTATCTAACCCTACCACACACTGCTCCAAAGGTTGTGAAATGGGGAATGGAACCTTTTCATTGAGAGTGTAGATTTCAACGGTTTCCATCGGGGTTTTGGCAAATCTGACCCACGGACCAACCGCGGTGCAACTGAATGCTTTGCTGTACATTAATGGAACTCGCTTATTCATATCAAATCAAATTTAGAGGGGTCGTATCAAGGACCGGATGTGAGGGGGGGGGTCGTACTGAGGTGACCATGACACTATTTTCACCCTGGTCCCAAGCCCAGAAGCTGCCGCGATAGAACCTGCGCGGCAAGAGCGTTGAAGCTTTGACTTGTACGATGCAGGCGCTGCAACTTTATCAATCGCGGCATGGGTGTCGTTTGCGTCCTTTCGCATATAACGGCTTTCTCGCGTTACCCTTCTTCTTGAAGCGCTTTGTCTTTCCCTTGCGCCAGGGCCGAACTCACAAGGGAGATTTGAGCGGTTAATGGTGATTTTGCTTTCTCTACTCATTTATGTTCCTCATAGCACTTCGTGCATAATCGAAAAAAACAACACAATTCGACCTCTTCCTGTGCCTTTGAGGCGGCTGTATCTTTCAGTTTCTCTAGGTGATGCGTTATCAGCAAAAGCATTATTTTATTGGCATGATACCGCCTATCGGGACTGACGTGCTCATCTTGGCCGCTTATCGTGAGTCGAATGCGGCATTATTAGGTACCGAATATCTTACCGTTGCTTTTCTGAGTTCAGGAAGTTTTGGGGCCGATTACCATGAAAAATCAATATTTCAGAAAGTCCCTTTTACTAATTGATACTGCGAAATATGTCGCTTATTGTTTTCTATTGTTGGTTCACAATTTAACTTTCCCACAATTTTTATACTTTTTCTTCGGAATCCCTGGGTCCAGTATGCAAATTCGCATGTGTGTACCAAATGCCTGAAAATTCTTGCTGGCTACTTCCGCCCACCAAATCAACATTGCATTGATTGGAGGGAATACTACCATTTGGAATGCTTATTGATTTTTCGCAGTTTTTTTCAGAAGACAGTGAACTCTTTGAAGTGATGCCCGCAATCGTTGTCAAAAAGTTGGCCCTAGTTAAATCAGTCCAGACGGGGCTGCTCCATTCTTGTGCTGAAATGGTTGTGCACCTTAGCATTGACTGATCGGTGATGCGCAAACGCTTGAACGAAGTTGATTGTACAAGAAATTCTAATAAATGTGCTCATGTGCTACTCAGTGTGCTCAAAAAGGGTGCGTCTTAGACCCCATGTCACAAAAAAGACACTGGAAAAATTGTCCAGTTGAGCTGGTGAGTTGTAACTTCTCCACCAAACAGTGCAGAACCTACTCTGACTAACTGCATACTTCTTTTGTCCAGGCCTAACTTTTTAGCAAATGAGAGGGATGATTATGACATATGATGTCAAAATCGACTTTTCTCTCTTTTTCTACTCAAAAAATCGCTAGCTTCAACTGTACGAGGTTTCCTCTCATATTGGTAAATGGGAAAGTGCTAATGAGCCATTCGACGAATATGCTGTTTTACTCTCCATTCTGAATAAAAATATTGGTGGTCCGATACTCGTGGTGAAAAAACAGCACTAAGATATCCGGTACTAATAAATGGCGAAAAATGGATGAAGGGGTCCCTTCTCAACCTCTTAGCCGTTTTTCTGGATTCTTTCTTTATCACTGCACCGCTACCACCTCTGCCATCATCTGCAATGAACGGCCATCTTATCACAACATGCGTCTTCATTTCATAGAATTTGTATAAACGGAAACAAAGGAGGAATAGGAATCACCTCACATAACAATACCAGATGCTCACCCAATAACAGATGCTCATCAAGTCGCTGCCAAAGCAAAATACTGAAAGTAATGAAGTACTAGTGCATAGTGTACAAGGAAGAATATGAATCAGATGTATATTTCGATTCAGGATGACCGACCTGCTCTACCCGAGTCCAGTAACGCAACTGTTCTTGCAAATGGTACTCTACTCATTGAAGTTTTCAAGAAAACCGACGTTGGCACTTATTCCTCTCCCGATCTCAAGCCGAAGGTTCGCTGCACTGATTATCACAAATTATCTGTACTAACCATGAAAGGCATCCAATTTTCCATGAACTTTGAGTTGAGACCCACATATGTCGACAGAGCTTCAAAAGCTGATTACAAATATGGAAACTGAAACTGCAAATTCAACCTATCAAGGAGGATGTGAACAGTTTTGGCCGAAAGTAAAATGTTACGTATCAACCGTACTGGCCTCTAAGCTGCCAATGTATCCGTGGAGTACTGCTCTCGAGATTTGCTCCAACGGTAGAGAACTTATGACCTCCCGGGTGAGGTGCGAGGGCACTACCAACACTCCACGACGACTCTTGGAAGCCTAAGCAGCTCCGTAATATGCTACGCTCTACATTAGCAAATTTCGGCTGCTCACAACTTCTTTGGCCGGTTCATTTTCAGTTTTAGTTTGCTTATTTGTAACCAGTTTAGCTTCGCACACTTCCGTGTGCATGACACGAAAGGGATGGTGAACCCGGCCAGCCGGTGGAGCGTTAGGTTCCGCCGCTAATCGTAAGCAATAACTTGCATTAAAATGCGTCTGGCCTCCCATAGGATGCCCATTTTTAAGCTCACCGTCACATATGCGCGGTGGAGTGCGGAACTAAAGTGGTGTCTGTAAATCACCACCATGCTTTGGATCTCATGATGATTTAGCGGTCGGATAATATTGATGTCAATGATTCCGAAATAGGAATACCCATTATCGTATATCGCTGATCATTCATCCTACATTCGTAGGGACTTTGGGACTGTAGAGGCCGAACGTACTTCATGCTTACGACAGCAACGCAATGAGATGATCTTTTTCTTCTTACTCTTAAGCGTTTCTCCCACATGTGGCGGGGTGCGCTTTCCTGGTATTACGACGCCACTTTTCACGCTTATGTGCCTGATCGGGATGAAGGTACATTTTCAAGTCCTTATGCATCGTATCAAGCCATCGTTGTTTCGGGCGTCCTCTTAGCTGCGTTAGCGCTCCTAGCACGTTAAACTCCAGACCGATCCTACGGACACTCTCATCATTAGAGCGAAGGACGTGACCATACCAACTCAGGCAAGCTTCCGCATCTTATCAGTGATGGGAGCCCCACCGAACCGCTTTCTGATGGTATCGTTGCGAATGTGGTCAAAAGGCGTGACCACGGCAGTTCAGCGCAGCATTTTTGCCTCCATTACACTGAAAGAGCCTCAACCTCTTTAGTTTGGCCAGCACACTGCTCCGTAAATGGCGACTGGTCGACGACGGTTCTGTAGATCATAGATGTCGCTCTGATATTTTCTTATCGCAAATGCCGGTCATCGAACGCCACTTGGACCAAGCTGCACTCACTCGGGAGTATGCTTCAGAGATCAGGCTGCTGCCGGACGCGATTGCCGACATAAGATACTTTAATGATGTTGTACTTGTGAACTCAGTGCCACTAAACTTGATCGAGCTCGACTCATCCAAATCGGTGGTCAAGCACTCTGTATTTTTCGCGTGTAACCAGAACCCAAATATAGTCAGACGGTCGGACCAGGTTTGAACCTGTTGCTCGAGTAGATATTTATCATCGAAGGCGAGCATAACTTCATCAGCATAATGAAGCGTCCATGGAGCGGGCTTCTGAAGACCACGCGAAATGGCATGAATAACGGCAATGAAAAGGAGTGGAGAAAGCGCGGAGCCTTGGTGCGCACCGACCAAGATAGGGAATTCCATCGAGTACCTACCACCGTTTGCACCCGACTATTTGAGTTCGAGTAAAGTATGCGCACCCAATCAATGAGCTCTTCGGGAACGTCGTGCTGTCGTAAAGCATACCATATACCTTTTTGAGGAACGTGATCAAAAGCCTTTTAGCTCCAGGAAGGCGAAATGTACAGCTTTTCTTTTCTCGCGATGTCTTCAGCAGAAGGCGGGCGACTGTATTGCATCGATGGTGCCACAGCCTGACATATATCCACACTGGTTGACAGGAAAGGTGTACGATGTTATGAATACGCCTGTCCACAATTACCTCAAAGATCTTCATGCTGTGCGAGAGCAGACGGATTTTACGGTAACTCGTACAGTCAGCAGGGCTGCCTTTCTTTCTCCGAACCGGAATCGCTTTGCTCTGCTGCCAACTCTCGGGCACCTTCTGCTACGATCTGGTCGAAAAACTTAGTCAACATTCAGCAGGATACCAGCATTTTGACCACCATATGTCGGCCGCCAAATCATCGGCACCTGTAACTTTTCCTGTCTTCATCTTCTTCAGAGCCCTTTCCGTTTCCTCCACAGTTATCCTCTGCACAGGACCTTGCACTGGCGCCACCTAAGGAACTGCTGGATGAGTAAATTCTACAGCTGAAATGTTTTCGAAGCGATTATGCGAACGTTTCACTGCTTTTTCTTCCTGTCCTTCAGAAGGTGACTATTTTCGTCGTTGATGCCGAAAAACTTCTCGATGTCCTCGGGCTGGCAATGGCGGGCTTTGGCAAGACGACAAGCATAACGTTCACCATCGCGCGTCTTGACCTTCTCACTAACATTGGATCAAAGTGGAAAGCTTTTGCAGCAGCAACGGCCTTTTTTGTCGCATCTTAGCTGCCTTGTAACTCCGCCAGTTGTGTCTTATCGTCAAGAAATACGTGATATAGCTTCTTCTTCTCACGTTTTTTCCTCACATCATCCCTCCATAGCCACGCTTGCTTGTGGACCTTCCGTCGCCCAGGTTTTGCTGTGCCGAGTTCAGAACGAGCAGAACGGTTATCGCCCCGGCAACACTGCTCCAAGTTTCATGAACAGTAGTGACTGCCGGCAACTGAATGTTGGATATCACAACCGGCTCGTTCTCTTAATGCCATCACCTGATTCTCGCTAGTCCACACCTCTGTGCATTGCAGGACTTGTGGACTAGCTTTGTTGCCCCCCCCCCCGACGCCGTCCTTACGTCGGAAACCCTCGCATAATTTTCACAATCGCGGGCTTTGCGAGTTCGCGTCGGCACCCGTGGACGCCACATTATCTCGGAAATAACATAACGTCTCTAATCATGAAGATGTGACGTGGATATTCGTAAGCCGGCCTGTCACGGGACCTGTCGCTTGCATTCGGATGTCCGCGATCAGCTCAGCCTACAAAAGTGGGCAGTTCCCAGTGGCACCACTTGGAGGAACGGACCCCAGCACCAACAACGCAGTGAGATGATTTTAAAGTGAAATGCACTATCTAGAATATGGCTTCAAATGATCTCTGTGTCCCTACGAATTTCGTAATCATCGGCCCTTATTAGCCCTCATCACTTCCTGTACGCCACCGAACATGTTCTCCTCCCACTCTATGCATTATTTCTTGGAATCAACGCCTCACTGCTGCTGGGACGCGTGCGGATTTCGTAAAATTTACTCAACGCCCCTTATCAGATCTTATCAGTCGGTATCACATTCTAAACTCCACCAAATATGTTGACAACCTCCTACACAATACTCATACAGCGCTCCATGCCTGCGCGAAGCACACTATGAATTTCGTGACAGACTACGGGCCTCCACACAGACGCCCACACATAGCGAACTATATATATTAGGTGTCCCATAATTAGTGAATCACTTTGGATATTTTTGAGTTCAAATTTTTCCTTTTTCAAAGTCCTTGCTCATCCAAACATGCACCTCAGTCATCTATAATGTATTGCCTATTCATAGGAATTTATTCGCTGTCTTTCCTCTGAAACTTCAGGAGATCTTGAACGAAGAAGGAATGGAAGTCGGGTTTGTGGTCGTATCACTTTGCGTAAAATTTCTTTTTGAAGAGGAGTGCTAGAGCTCAGACAAGGTTGTCGTTGGCTAGTACGAGAATAGTGCTACACAATGAAGCTGAAAGAGCTGTTAGCCTGAAAGTCGCCAACTTTTTATAAAAAATCTACCCAAGGTGGGTCGAACGACCTCAGAAAAAAAGCCGACTTTGTGCTGCTTTGCTTTTAAATTAAACACGCTGTTCCTGTGCTGTCCACATTGACTTCTTCACTGACTCTAGTATTACTGGGCGGCGGTTCTCGGCGCAAGGTTCCTTTTTTGTTTCACTAACATTTCAGAAGTGTCAAACTTAGAGGAAGTTGGGCTTTTGCTGTCAGAACGCCCGAATCGCTTGAGCTAGTCTACTGCTCCTGGTGGATTTGCTAGCACACCCCACCCAGTCTACAGAACTGGTGAGTATGCAGGCCGGTCACTAGAAGGAACTCTAGGAAATCAAAAGAAACATGATGATATCTGATCGTGTTTGAGGGTGATTCGGGCACAGAGCATGTGAGATACAAATTCGTATTTTAAATCTTTGCGACTCTACAGAAATCCCTAAATTCCGTCATCTGAACAAGTCGGATATGCTCTGGCGCGTAGCGACTACTTTGTCCAGATCCAATCTCAGCTGTCTGGGTAGAGCAGCAAGATTGCCAGTAGAGGGGTAGTTAGACTATCGGTCATTTACAGATGAAAAGCTCCGAAACAGAGTGAACCGTGGATTGATGGAGTGTGTTTCTCGCCTATTTGCTGGTTGACCCACTACGGTGGTTGGCGTTTGAAAGATGCTAATCAGAGGTGATGTGAGAGGCTCGAAAATAGGTTTTAGAAAAATTGATGTTATAGCCTTGTAAGGCAGCGTGTATATGGCTTACAAAATGATTGGGTAGAATAATGTGGGTGCTACCTACTTTGCAAACATCTTCGACGCCTTTACCATTTTCTTGAATTTTTATAGCAATGAATGAAAGTGATTCACTAATTATGGACAACCTAATAGTAGGGATCAGCATTTTGAAGCCCTATCAATATACTCGAGTCTTATTCCAAAGTTCCTGGGGAGTCTCTGATAAGCTCCACTTCTATCTTTTCTGTTGTAAGATGAAGGCTATGCTCAATGCCTACCTACAACACCATTCCTAATTCCTGGATGTCGACGGTTGGCGAAAAACTACTCCGTCGCGCACCCCCTTGTCATACTCTATAAGAAAAAGGGCAGAATGA